AATCTAAATCCAAAGAAGGGAATAATATTAGAGCTAAAATTGTGAGATTCTAGTTTGCAGAAGGCTGTGAATACAAGTGGAAGCCCAAAATACATCTGCAGGATCGACACAGGGAATACACATCTCTGGTGATTTCCTTCTAACCATAATTGAGGGTTAGGAACATACTGGTTATCAGATAGAGTATTGAAGAGATGAATATAGTAGATTAAAATGAAGATAGATAAAATTCTCAACATCAAAGTTATGTGATAGTAATTAAATTCATTAAGGTGAGCAGTTTAAATTCTCCATTTAGTAAAGGGAACAATTCATGTACTTCAAGGAACAAAAATGTGAGAAATTGCTTCTATGTGGATTATAGCCTTACCAACACAACACTATTGGTCAGTTCTATGGGGCAAGTCCTATAGGAACAGACATAATGGCCAAGAGCTAATCACAAAGGCAGTGCTTCCAGAGTTTTACATTTTTATGTTTTGTGCTGCTGTTTTACCAAGGCCAAAGTATTTGGTAGGAACATGCTGAAATGATGTGTGATCAACAAAGATACTCAAGATAATTTCTTAATGATGCAAAGCAAATACTTCCTTTTACTGTAAACAGAATGACTGAGTCTACTTCTTGAAGAAATCAAGCTCTATTTATATTCATTCTCCTGAAATGGCACAGGCAGCCTGAGAAGGGTAAGTTTATAATAAATCCCTATATTTGGAAACACTGTTACTATGCATCTTCTAACATTCAGCAGAGTTTACATAATCATGTCTGCTACATAATCAACATTTCATGTTTTACAAAATGTACAGCATGCTTATCGAAGTTGTTAATTTAAAACATTATAAATTTTGAGGGAATGAATAAAAGGCTATGCAACTAATTAATTAGAAAGCCAGCCTAATCCCAGGGGTAATACAAAAATAGACATTAAATGTCAGGACATGTCAATGTCTAACTTGTAAACAGCTAGTCCACTTGAGATAAAACATTTCAAAATTCAGCAGCCCTTTGTTTAAAAAGGTGAGCCACAAAACATTAGACCTTCAGACAAGTCACCACACTTCATGCCAAAATCAATAAGAAAATGTAACATTTGACAATAAGCTGCACATTCAACCTTCAGTAATATACATCTCTGCCCAAATAATGAAAGTTATCTCCAAATGTTGAAAGATATACTATTAAAAAAAAATCCATGCCATCAAATAATTTTCAACTCATAGAGAAACTATAAAGGTTTTCTGAGACTGTCGATCTTCATGAGAGCAGACAGCCTCATCTTTCCACCAG